ATAGTGGATTGTTTTGTTTGCTGTTTCAGCTTTTGAGAGTTCCCTCTCTGTAAGCCTGGTGAATTCTATACCCCCGCCTCCCAATTTTAAGGCTGGTTGGGGGTAACTACTGGGGCCGGTGGCCATTTTCCCTGGCTTATTTTGGTGGGAGCGCCATCTTGTTTTGGCAGGAGCGCCATTTTAACGGTTAAGAGTTAATTTATTTATTTTGTAGTGTGAGAGAACTTATTGAGATGCCTGTTAAAAGGAACCCATGTCCTTTAGAACCCATCTCAGTCGCTGCGTTCAGTGCAAGCCCCAGCAGTTCCTCAGCAAACACTGGATCGCCTGGGTGCTATCGTTGCCAATATTGGCTCGGACACTGCAGCCTTGACAAGGTTGAATTCGGAGCTTGAGTCATTGGCTCAGCAGTTTGGGAGGCAGCCTGATCCCCAGCCTGGCCCATCCTCTTCTTCTACTGTTTATGAAGCCCATGGTCCCTTCGATGCAAGTGAAGGGAGTGAAGCTTTTGATTCCTCTGGGGCTTTGTTTTCCCAGGATTCCAGTCCCAGCTAGTTCCAGGGGTCGTGCCAGGAGTATGGGTGGAGTGCTAAAAAGTTGCAACATGACTTGGGGATTCAAAAGATATTTTGGTTAATTTAATATAATTTAGTATTTCTTGGGAAGTAACATTTGTGTAAAATTGCATGGAAATCATAAAAAACGATTGCCAAGTATTTGCAGTTATATTATATATTAATATTATTTGTTATTTGATGTTGTTATTATTAAGTAATGCCCGGCATTTTAAGAAGGTAACATTAACATTCTTTGGTTTTCTGAAAGTTTGCGTGCGTCTTCACCAAATGCAGACTTTTCAAGCTACGTCTCACAAAAATAAAAGCAGATCTGAATTCCTCATACCCAAAAACATATTTTGAATACCCTTCCCTGAAGAAATTTGCAAAAATTAAGCTTCACCGCACTAAATGACACATTCCATGGACCCAAAGGTCTTTTCCTTATCCCATGCTTTCAAATCACAGGTCCAAGTGGTTTTCCTTTTGCTCCATCACTTATCCCAGGAAAAATCACTGCTTTCCACTGAATGCAACAAATGTCAACCCACAGAAAAACCAATTGATTCCCCACCCCAATTCATCAGAATACAGTGGGTTTCCTGGGAACGGAGGGGAAGTGGGATAGGCCCTCTATCTTCCTTTCTCTTTTCACACAAATTCATACAACTAGATTGGTAGGCGAAGGGATGTTATTTGGTTTCTTATTTATTTAAAACATTTCAGTTTGCAAATGGGAGAATCCTATCTCAAAACAAATAATGCTTGTGATTTGAGATTTCCCTTAGGGCCCTGCAGAGGAGAAAGGATTAAACACACCCTCCACACTTGACCTGATCTTGATAAGCCCCCCAGATTCAGTGCCCCACCCAAAAATGCATTTTAAATGTAATGCCACTTTCAACATCACCACTGGTTTGCCTCTAAGACCACAATGTAGTTCAAATCAGGATAAAAGCAAGCTGTCACCCCCAACCCAATGATCCGCCCAGGGCCCCCCCTCCCCAGGTTGCCCAGTCCCAGGCATGCAGGAGGGCAGAGCTGGCCAGCTGCCTCAGTGTCTCGCTGGCTTGGTCGCCCCCGAACTCACGGTGCAGAGCCGCCTGCAGCAGAAAGGCCCGTCCATCAGTCAGAGCACCTGGATTCAATTCTCGGGCCCTGGACTCTCAGCCTGGCGCCCCTGACAGCCCGGCGCCCAGGTGACCCACACCTCTAGCCCTGCTCAGAGTTGTTAAGAGACTCCTATTCCCATCAGAGGAAAAACACATACATATCATGGTTAATGTGCACAACTCCCTCTACAAAGGGCCTGCCCAAGGCATTTTGGCTCTTGAGGTAAAGCACAAAATGGAACACACACATACATACCCAGGGAAGAAGGGGCAAGTGAAGATCTACATCAGGAACAAGAGAGGAATAAAGATCAACATCAGGATCTGCTTCTCCTCGGGATCCTGCTGCCTGAGGCGGTCACCTCACCTTGTCTCATGGGTTGGCTAGCCCTGCTTCTCTATGGTCAGAAGTTGTGCATATTCCCCATGAGGCATGGTGAATGTCTCCTTAATTGATGAACTCGCATTACCCCAAACATGTCCATGTGCATGCATCTAATTAAAGCTTCAAAATTATTTACTTCACAATAATTTTCCATCATTGCTCTAGGTAATAAGCAGGTTGCCTACTTCTCTATAAATTCGTGAGAAAAAATGTCTAAGCTCACACTTCAGGAAAAGGCTGTATTTCATGTTGTGCTTCCTTGATAATGTCTCCATAATGAAACCTTCTGGGAAGCCTATCTACCGTTGTACCTGCATCTCTTGATATAAAAGGGAAGAGAAAGGTTTCTATAAAACATGCAACACTTAGTGTAGCTTGAAAAATCTGATGTATTTTTTGGTTCTCTTTCCAAAGATCCTGACCTTGTGATATATATAATTCATAAACACAAAGGTAAATATTAAATCGTAATTGAGCAAGGCAGAGTAATGAAATATCTGTGAATCCAAAATTTAAAAGAACTGTGCAATTGCTTTACAGATGCCTACATATTATTTCTGAGGGGTTTGATATATTGCAGAAACATATATATATACACACACACACACACATATACACAGTGCACCCTCCAGAAACGAACTAAATTCATTCCAGTGGTCCGTCCGCAACCAGAAAAGTCCGTAGGCAGAGGCGTCTCTTCTGCAATTGAGCGCTTCTGGGCATGCGGCGAAACCCAGAAGTATACACTTCCGAGTTTGCCGCGTTCGTAACCCGAAAGTTACGTATCCAGAGCGGTACGTAACTAGAGGATCCACTGTATATGTATGTGTCTGTGCGTGTGTGTGCTGACATAAAGACTACATCAAGGTGAGTCAGGCATCTTTAGGGTTATCTCATTAGTTTTGTTTCATTGTATTGATCCAATTTTCTGCACAGTGAAAATTCTGGGTAAAGCTTGACAACCTCGTCATATTTCTGCTTTCCTTCCTATTCACATACTTTGGCACTGGCTGTAGAAAGACATTACTTTGGGAGCTAGGGATCTAAGATGGTAGTGATTTCCATTCCAACCTGTATTTGTCACAATCAGCACTGTTTCCATTTTGCTGTAGTTCAGTTTCTGCCAAATATTAAGTTGTTGTTGTTGTTTTTCCTGTCTGCTATTTAAGGTACATTATGTAACAATTTTCATAACCAACATTCATTTCAGTGTAAAGGAAACATCAAAACAATGTTAGAGTCACCAACGGCATATTGTTCCTGAACTTAAAAACAGCAAAGATATCAATTAATACTTCTTGCATTTACTTGACTGATTTTCATTCCTGACTAAAGACGAGCATACCAACTCCAGCAATTTCTGCTTCTTTTTACACTGGAATACTTTGACATTGTTACTATTTAAATGTTCTTCCTCTGGACAGCAACCCCACCACCACCACAATCCACACACACTGTGTATATTGCTAGGAAACTGAAGTAGTCATAATTGTTACCTTCCAAATAAGCATACCTAATAGAGAGTTCACTAAATGACTGAAATTTATATTTATATCAAGAAGAAACAAATATCAGCATTTGGGAGTGGGGAGATACATACCTATTAGGGAGCGACTACATATGGATAGTTGTGATGTGCAAATATCTGGGAGCAGTTTTCAAAGCAATTTCCTCATTTACTTTTCAACATTATCGAGTAATTCAGAGCAATGATGATTGAAGTTGGGAGGCTGTGTATCAGCTGGAGACATTTTGCAAAAGAAATACGTTGCATATACTATTTTCTTTCCCTTAGTAGTTGTAGGGGAGGAGATATTGGTATGTGTCTAGAGGCACTGGATCTCTCAGTTTTCCTTTCACCCTTACTTTTCCGAATGTGAAAGACAAGTGAAACCTTTGGGGACTAGTGGCTTGGGACAGTAGTTCCCCATGTTGCAGGCTTCTCTAGACCCTGGTCTTTCTGACTGAGAAAGAAGAGGAATGCGGACAGTGGTGAAGTTGTAGCACTCGCTTGAGTCACCACTGCATATTGGGAGCTGAGTCACTGCTCCTTATTAGGAAAGGAGTGAGGTGTCAGGGAGGTCAGTGTGATGCAAGTATATCAGCAGGGATGCCGGATTGCCTTCACTTGTGCATTTGTACTATGCTAAATTTCCTGCCCTCTTGCCCTTCCCCTGTCCGATAGCAGCAATGACTCAGATGTCCAGAGGCCAGGTGAGCACTGCCACCCCACTGTCCACTACTGCTTCAGAAAGTCCTTTTGGACTGCTGCTAAAAGAGGTTGGCAAACTAGTTGTGTGGGCCAGATTTGGCCCATAGGAAACCAGCTCCCGACCTCTGCATGTTTGTTTGTTTTTTCTCAGAAAAAAATAAAAGTAATTCTCAGGTATTTTTAAACACTCATAATTCAAAATCTTCATATGGAAAATTCAGTGATCTCAAATGTTGATGGCAGGATTAATTTTCAGCCATCTCCCTTAGGGGACTGCTGATTCTGTCTAATTTTTCCTGAAGTTCTTTAGCCCATTACCATCTCTTGATAAGTCCCCCCGAAGATCTGCCTTTTAAACCATTTACCAAATCTGTCTTTCAATCATCACACTGCTACAGCCATTTTCTTATGGACATTTCATAAGACTGATCCCCAGGCACCTACCTGAATTCCAGCACTTTGTATTAGCATCAACCGTGCAACTCGACATTCCCTATCACAGGAACTGTGTTCGGTCTCAAGAAAGATGAACATATCATTTTTGACATGGAGCTCAAAAAGGCTTGTTTTGTGGGTTGAGGGATAAGCCACGATCCAGGGGATAAGTTTTGTTCCCTGTCTTCTTTGCCAAGATTATTGCAGAACTTCTGCTTAACAACAAATTACATTCATAAATACAGGCTGGCAATGGCACTTGAAAGACAGCTTGCATACCACGACAAGACATAAATATGCATATATGTATATGTGTGTGTGTATATACATATATAGATATACACACACACACATATACATATACAGTGGTACCTCTGGTTACGAAAATTCATTCCGGCGGTCCGTTCTTAACCTGAAACCATTCTTAACCTGAGATACTACTTTGGCTAATGGGGCCTCCCACTGCTACCGCGCGATTTCTGTTCTCATTCTGAGGTAAAGTTCTTAACCCAAGGTACTACTTCCAGGTTAGTGGAGTTTGTAACCCGAGTTACCACTGTGTGTGTGTGTGTATCACAGAAACGATCCTCCCACTATACATTTTTTCCCAGTGTAATTACAGTATGGAATTTGAAAATGGGGTGGGGGAAGAGATGCTGGTTGAGACAGTGAATTCCTTTATAGCAGCACAATGAGTAGGACTGAAGTGTTGCGCAACGGTAAATTAATCCACACAGAGTTTTCTTCATAAACAGAATAAAACTTTTACTTGAGAAAATAAAGTTGTTCAGAAACAACATAGTTAAAGAGCATACACAGAGTGCTCATAGCAGCTATCTGACTCTTCACAGAGGCACAGTCTTAGTTATTGATTTACTAGAGTCCTGGAGCCACTCTGTCTGCAACAACACAACACACACACTGGCTGACACACACACACACACACACACACACAGAGAGAGAGAGAGAGAGAGAGAGAGAGAGAGACACTGAGGCCCACAGAGAGGCTGGCTACTTTTATAGGGAGAACGAGTCATCACCCAAGATGAGTCACGAGTCACAGTGGCTTAGCAGTTTGCTGTTAGCAGGCTTAGGCTTGAATGATTGTGTAGACCTTGTAGGCCTTACTGCTTCTGCTCTCAAGAACCTTTGTCTCATGACATGAAGTGTGTGTGTGTGTGTGTGTGTGTGTGTGTGTGTGTGTAAATAATCTCTATCTGGGATGCAGCAGTAAAACTCCAGTAGCATCCAGTAAGGATCCTTGAACAATTCTCGTTTTGAAAAACAATTATCACCCCAAAGGCAGAGCCGAAGGTTTTACTTATTCATTTATTTATTCAATGCCTTTCCATTCTGCCCTTTTAAAGCAAAACCTTTCCAATGTGCTAACAAAACATCAATACAACACAGATATACAAGGATAGAACAAGGTCAATAAATTAACAGCTAAACAGCAGCAATTAAAACATAGAACTTAGCATGAATTCAGCAGTCAAATGCCAAGAAGAACAGCCACGAAAATATGCTTTAGTTATTCTTTTTCTTTGCAAAAAGAAATGCAAAGTGGCTTACAACAACAGCACATACATGAGTATGCCATCAATATATTTTTCTCCAGGGAAGGTACTTCCAAAGAGGTGGGCTACTCCTGCAAAGCCCCTATCTCTGTTACTTTTATTCCCCCAAGAACTTTTGAGTCTTTTTAAAAGAGAAGAATCATCGCCTGGAGTACATCTAGAGTTACCTATCCCACTTTCACACCCAATATGCAGGCATTGCAGGTTTGCATATTTTTTTAGCAAACTACAAAGCCTATTTCAACCACCAGCACCATTCAGACCAAAACAAGGGGGGGAGGTACCATACCATGTGAAGCAATGTCTCTCCTGAGCTGCAGTTAGCTAGGGGGAGAGCTGTAGCTGAATGATAAAAACAACATGCATGACATGCACAAGATCCTAGTTTCACTTCCTGGCGTTAATGGGTGGGGCTGGGGAAGACTCCCATTTGAAACCCTGAAGAGCCACTGTTTGTGGCCTGCTGGAACCCATAATACTATATGCTGTTCTCTTGTCTGGTTTATTCACCCTTAGGGAACTGAAGGGTCATGGGGTCTTGGCATGCAAATGGATGGATTTACTTACAAATGGAAAGCAAGGTATCTCGGAGGATGAAGCACTTGGCTGAATTGAAGGAACAAAGTTGGGTATGGCGAGGCAATCCATTTCCCCTAAGGAGGCCCTTTCCTCCTTTGCTTTTTCACCTCTTCCTGCTTCCACAACTTCTTGGCAATAAGGTCTCATTGCTTTCATTATTCTTAGAAGAAAGATAGCCCAGAACATCACAATTTTGTTTAGTAACTCATTCTAGCCAGACCTCTGGCTCTACTCCTCATCTTCTGGTCTCAACAAACATGCCTTGATTCTCTGTGTCCAGAACAGCAGTCCATATATTGGTGAACTATTCCTCCCATAACCCCTGATCATTGACCATGTTGTCTATTGTTGATGGAAGTTGTAATCCAACAGTATGTGGATGGCGCCACATTGGAGTCAGCTGCTCTAGAATATTGGCTGGTTTCACCAACAGGGCCTTGTCTGCACAGCTGATGCTGATGCCAGCTTGTGAAAATAGCATTGATGAACTAGAGGAATGAACACAGCAGAGTACTGGTTTTTGTTCAAAGAAAGGAGAAGGGAAATGAAGATGACGGATGAACAAAGATATGCAGAGAGAGGATTTTATGTAAAGCTTAGCCCTAAATGGCCTCAGTCCAGTATACCTGAAGGAGCGTCTCCACCCCCATTGTTCAGCCTGGACACTGAGGTCCAGCACCGAGGGCCTTCTGGCGGTTCCCTCGCTGTGAGAAGCCAAGTTACAGGGAACCAGCTAGAGGGCCTTCTCAGTAGTGGTGCCCTCCCAACAGATGACAAAGAGAAAAACAACTGCCAGACTTTTAGAAGACATCTGAAGGCAGCCCTGTTTAGGGAAGCTTTTAATGTTTAATAGACTATTGTATTTTAATATTCTGTTGGAAGGGCGGGATATAAATAAATTATTATTATTATTATTATTATTATTATTACCAAAGTAGGTACCATCTAAAACCCTGAAATCTCATGAGATGATCTTGGAAATATATATTTCATATCCATACACACTACCCTGGTTTTCTTGTATGTTGTTATTCCTTCACAGTAAAATTACTTTTGCAGACCTTCAACATTGTTAGAAGTGTAATCAAACTTTGTTACATAAAGTTTTTTTGTTTTGTTTTTTTACTTAGATGGATGTTTGGCTACTAAAATTAGATGCAACATTTTGGAACGTTTACTAATCAGCCATCTGCATAACGGAGGCCTATTTTGCAATAGCAGGGGTAATTACAGCTTTAAAAGGTAAGCGGTCACTTTGTCACCTTTGTGTTAATTAGTTATTGTGCTCAGTGCCGCCAAATTTGTGGGAAGATTGTTGGACCTCTGATTTGCTGATGAAGTAATTAATTTACCTAATTATCAATATCAGTGGTATAAGGAAGAGGGGTAAAGTGATACTATTGCCATATGTAGCACCCTTTCATAAGAAACATGAATATGCTCGTGGGCTAATAAAATAATTTTACAATGTTTATGTTTTGTTGACCTATCTGCTAGTCTAGGGATGTGGAACTTTGAAAATGAGTTATGTGTGGTTAAGGGGCATCAAATGTTCTCTCCAGTCCACACTTAATTTAAAATGGCATCTCAGCCTGAGAAGGAATGGAAATAAAATGCTAACAAAAGAGTGATTGCAGGTCTCGGTGTTTAACATGTAAGATCTCTCATCTTAAAAAATTAATTAGTCCATAATAGTCCATCCTATGAAAGGAAGTCAGGGAAAGTAATATTAGTTATTATGAGTTGGATGGTTCCTCATGCACCAAACGGCTATCAAGACACATGAGGGCTTGGAAGAGATGGAAAAAAAGGCTTTGGTATACACAACAGTCATCTGGTCTGTAGCTCAAAACATATCAAGGGGGCAATTGTCAACCCTAAACTTTTAGTAATGGTATTTCTGTGTTTGCCTTTGACAATGGCATAGTTGTGTTTGATCCCACATTTTAAGAGTGAATTTGGAACTGAACGTCTCCATCTTTGGTCACATGTCACTACCCAACAGGAAATGGGAAGGTGCTACTCCACCCACCCCATTCTGCCATTGCTGCCAAAGCCTCCTTTATCTGGGATGCATGATGGTGTCTGAAGCAGTGGCAGCTGGTTCTGCAAGCTATCCTGTTAAAGATATATTTGTTATTTATATTTCAGGAAAGCTAACATAGTGTACATCACAAGGCTCGGGTCTGTTTAAAGTGGCATTAGCTAACAAGGATGTTGGCTGCTACGGTTTATAAAACTAAACAAATTAGATGGCAACTATCAATAATTGAGCAACTTTCTCTTCCAGGAGGAACAACTTTGCTTTCTCAAGCTGCTGCTATAAAATGCAAAATAATGACTTTTTAAAATTGGGGTGGGTGATTCTTTTATCCTCAGTGCAGGCCTGGTAAACAGAGAATCTGATATAATGTTCCAATACACAAAGAGATATTACAGAGCTGAGAAGAAAATGTGGCCATTTCACCCCTCTTTACAATGACCGTGAAAAATTACAGCAGCTAATTAAATAGCCACTGCTTCTTCCCTCCCCACTTCACTGCTCAACCTCTATCATTTTAATAAGCCATTCTTCAGAACAAAATGCTGTATTCATAATGGATGATATTCAGTTATGATCAATACTCATGCAAGATTTAGCATCCGATTTTAAACAGACGGTTACAATGCTCAGAAATAAATAGTGCATGGAACAGACACTCCCTGCATGATTCAGAGCACAGAGGAAGGAAACACTATTCTTTTTAGGCGAAACACCTCTACTACATAATGCCTTCTTCCTTTTCAGAGGTTGGGATCTGACTTCAGATTCACAGCAATTCTGCATTTCTTCCTTTGAATCTGTACACTAAAGTTTAAAAAGTTGACACTGTGAATGTCTGCAGGAGGGGAGGGGACAAAGGACCTTTGGATATGTAAAGAGATCCATCTTCACTACGCTATAACAAGGTTCTATGAGCCTTCTTTGCTATATTTATATCCAGCACAAGATCCCAGATCCACAGTCTCCCTCCCCCAGGGAAAAAGCATGTGGGACAAGCAAAGCATTTTATTATTATTATTATTATTATTATTATTATTATTATTATTATTATTTTGCTCTTGAAGTCCTTACTAGTTATTGCTGTTCCATAATTTTTCTGGGGAGGTGCAAGGGTTGCATTGAGATGTGTTCAACTGCCATCTATGGTCAGAGACCGAAAGGTCTA